CACGATGAAACTAAAAAAATGATTTAAATTTTAAATTAGGTAGAACAACCAAACACTGTACATCTTATCTTTACAGAGTAATTCATTGTTATTTTTTCATTTTTAAAATATCAGGCTAAAATGCAAGCCTGAGCATAAACGAGTTAAAAAGTTAAGTTCATTTTTGCTTTTTAACTTAACTTTTTAAATTCAACTTTCATTACTTAATATGTATTTAACTAAACTGATTTTTAAATAACGAGTTACTTTTAATCAAATCCAAGTTTCAATTCATAATTATATTTTTTATTTTTTTTTGCTTTATTTGAAATGAACAATCTTTACCTTATGGTCACAATAATTATAGTTTATATAATATATATAACTGATTATTGTAAAACACATACATATTCATTTTATTAATCGAATACACAATTAATACTAATATAAATAAAATATTTATGGTCGGTACTTAGATGTGAGCAGTCATCAATGCTTTTTTTGTTTTTTTGACAAGATGGGGGGGGGGGGCTGGTTGAGAAGGTAACTACAGTAAAATCATTATTGATGATTCAAATTGCATAAATATTTACTTTTTATTATTTTAAACCATATTACTGGCCGTTTATAAATTAAAAAATAATAATTAAATAACTTAGCTTAAGTTGATAAGTTAACTGTAAGTTTTCATATAGTTTTTAACGTAACTCAGATTAAAACAAATTTAGGATAGCCATTGACTTCAAACTTTTTAAAATGTTTTCCATCAACTTAATTTAACTCAATTAAAAATTATCATCAACTTGCCTAGACAGATTTTAGTCAAATCGTGTTTGTTTACTAACCACTATATTTATTGCATTAAAAATAATATACAACAAAAATATGGTTAATACAGGATTCTCCAATGTTTTTATTGTAACAAATGTGTGCCTTTAAAGATCTTACAGATATCTTAGAACATTAGAGTATTTTATCAAACACTAATAGAATCTATGATGAATTATGGTAATTTTATATGGGGAGGTCTGCGTGAAATTATTATGGACCTATTAAACAAATTTAAATATCAAAAACTATTCTAAAAAACAACTCATATATCACATAACACATGTATACAACGATACTGATAAACTCTAATATCTTACAAATCTTCTTTTCTTTGCATAATTTAAAATATTCTTACTTTTGAAACTTAACACTTATTTAATAGGATATTTTAATATACTAGACAAATATTGAAATATCATACATTAAAGTACCAACCACGCACAACAAATTAACATAATCCACATACTTATATAGGTATGTCAGTGAAAAAAAAATTAAAATATACATATTGCTTTACACATAACTAAATATAGGTAGTAGATCCTTCAAGATTCTTAAAAAAGAAAATTACTATTTTGCTAATACAAGAACAAAGTATAAATAATTATCACATAACTTCTTACATTAGGTAGTTAAATGGCGATTTTTGTATTTTTAGTTTTAATAATATTCTATTATTTAACTAGGAAAACGATTTTAAGTATAATAATAAATTATATGGAAATATAAAAAAATATGTATCTATTTATATTTAGGTATATTGGTATTTTAACTATCTTCTGTAGTTAAAAAGTTGTTAATACAGTTTAATAACTGTGAGTAAAAATAACCAAGAAACTACATGATTATAATTTTGATTTATATACATAAACATTTAAAAAAAAGAAAACTCATCTAATATACAAAACGGTGTACAAAAATCCAAAAATCAGAATATTATTGTTAAATTCATTATCATAATATGAAAACATGAGCATATTGTGGTAATCCCCGTGCACAGTGGAATAGTGGATCGACGGTACCGTCGAAAAAAATTAAGTATCGCAATAAAATTCTGTTCTTGAGCACATTTTGCTAAATTTTTACAGCGTCTGCGTCGTCGACCACTGTTGGACAAGTCCCACCGCGCACGCCGAAGAAAAAACGCGGATTTTATCTCGGGGTGGAAGCAGCGATCGCCGTGGTCGTTGAACTTTTCACTAACCCAAGCACCGATTAGAGATGGACAGAATATATTATAATTATATTATTGCGACATTGCAGTGTAAGCACACACGGATGTCCAACTTTTATTGTTTTAATAATATGTTTATGTATTTTTGATGTATAAATCACTTGTTGCCGAGACATAGTTTTTCGCGCTAAACGGACAAAGCTGGCTCGCAGACAATATAATAATATGCAAGTTGTAACATTATACTATTATGACAACGTGCGTGTGTTTGTGAGGTCGTAAAAACAAAAAAAAAATATTTATACGACAAGTATGAAATTATGTGGCACAATAATATATTATGACCTATTTCACCTCCTTTGCCGTTTTTCAGGTGTCATAACAGAATGTGCACCAAGTGAAAGTATAATACGCTAAAAAAAACAAAAAAAATGTAAAATAAAAGTATACTCAACGAATGAAAAGGACAGACGTTTTGAAGATTTTCTATTATAGAAGTGAAAATAATTTAAAACGACTCTTGTTAATTATATTAATATTATAACTATATAGGTTAGAAAGCCGTGCACGTCAGTATTTCTTCTAATTCTTAAGAAACACTAATGATCGCCTCCCGTTAACACCTGTTTTTGATTTTTTTTTGTTATGAAAAAATGTTGTTTGTTATCATAATGACCGAAACGAGAACTCAGTACGGCATTAATTATTATTATTTCGTTTTCGAATATTCTTAGTATGAAATCATTATAAGTTATAACCACTAAAAAACTTTTTTATTAAAACTGACACAATATTTGGGTGTAAATTACATGTCATTTTATGCGAATATTGTTTTAAATAGATAACACCTCTAGAAACATACACAATTTATAAATATTATTTTTAAATATATCGTGGACTTTGTTTTAAAAAAAAAAAATTAGTTAACTGGCGATTTTCATACCATTGCACTAGGTTGGTTAGGACAAATTAAATTTAATAAATTGATGACACAACCAAAGATCATTGGAAACTTTAAAACCTTTTAGTAATATGTTTTGTGGTTTCAGAAGCTGCACACTTAGTATACTGTATACAGGGCCAAATATAAACTCCTACACGAATAACCTTTTTACCTGAAAATAAAAGATACTGTGATCTCCTACATAGACATTTTTACCTGAACCAAAATAGGCTACACTCCAACATTTTATTTGAATTCACAATTTTGGAATTGAAAAGATCAAAAAGCTAAAAATGATAACTTGAAAATAATAAAAATATATTTTTATGGATAAAATATAAACACTTGGTTAATGATTTATTTTAATACGATTATTATTGAAGTTTTTATTTATATAGGTAGCTGAATTGATTTTTGTACAATATGTATTAAAGACGTACGCAAGGCTTATATTTTATTTTTAATGTCTAAAATATGACGACATATTTTTTTCTACTGATTTTAATTTTTAATTTTTTTACCTATATGTCTAAGTAATTTGGTTTTTTAATATATAATAATGTATGATAATTAAAAGATTTAAAATAGAGAAAATTATTAAATTTGACAGTATATAATATGAGTATGCTAGAAGGACACAACAGCGGTACAAGCGATGTCCACTTGATCACCTTTTTAAAAATGAATTAGACTTTTTTTGTAAAAATTATTATTTTATTATCGTTTGTAGGAGATAACACTCTATATTTTGTAGGAGTTAACACTATATTTTTCAACACTATCTTTTGTAGAAGTTAATACTATGTCTATTTAGGAGATTACCTACGTTTGTAGGAGCTTACCGTTAAGCGTATACAGTGTACTACCAGTCGCCATGGGGGTGAGAAAATGATTTTCTGTGGAACTTTTGTCGATTTTATGATAGAGGATAAACTAGAAGACGATGATAGTAAACAAGAATCCGTAGACGATATACAGCATAGTAGGTAGGTTCTTAGGTATGCTACTCTCTTCGATTATTTTGGTGTAAGACTGGGATATGAAACCCGAATTACATATTTTTAAGATGGATTCGAAAATTAATTTTGTAGAATTTTGGTTTACTATCACGATAAATACATTAGTTTGTTTGTCAGAGCCAAAAGAGGAGGGAAATGGGAATATACAGTTTCGCTATTTTTTCACGATTTAAATAAGGTTGTCCTCTAATTAATTCCTAATTTATGGCCAAATTATTAATGGCCAAGCTGTTGAAAGTTTTAAAATCGTATTTTTTTGGCTTTTTCACTATAAATATCTATTATACGAATAGAAGTTTAACGTTATCCGTATCACCGTGCATTAAGAAACTAAGTTAGATTGATTTTCTTACATGACTATAATATACGGTGTTAAATTTGAAAAATCAGCGTCGGTATTTGTTGCACAGGAAGATTATCAGAGCTCCATTTAGAGTATATATAAAAAAGATAAAATACCTACGCGAAAAAAATTACAATTGTAGAAATCGAATCGTCGTTTTCGATCATAATCTTCAGCGCTTTAATATTATAATTTTAACTGGAAAAGTTTCCTCATTGAGTCTTTGTAATGTATAAAATATAAACTTTAAAATTACAATAATGCCAAATAAGTCTTTTTTCGTCGTATTTTTTGTTTTTTTATCTCAATAAACATTGACAAGTTTATTTCATGTAGTTTTTTTTTTATATTTTTCGTCGAGTTAAGATATTTATTTATTCATAATCATTTTTCAGAACTGAATAAATTCCATGATATAGGTACTTTATTTGATGATATATTTTCAGCAACGATTCATATCGTGTTTAATAAAAATAAAAACCAATTAATTACACACAATTGAGAGGACTTAAAACGGGAATTTTCAACAGACTATGTTTTGTACGGAATTCGAGATGGAAAATTTATTTTTAAAGTACAATAATTAGTTTTTAATTTACTGTCGTCGTTGCGTTAGCCACGGCATTGGATGACCAATCGGCACAATCTCCGAGAGCTGTAATCAATTAGATCGCAAAACTATAATCTTACATAATATCTGTTTAAAATTACTTTGATTCGAATTGTGCGTGAAGCCAGTCTGCAAGTTTTGCTTCTTCGCAGCCAAGTGTCGGACGGTCAGCGTGTACGTGAGTAACATGACGCCTAGTGGAATGTAAAAACTCACAATCGATCCAATCAGTTTGTACAATGGATCGGGTATCTGGCAAGAACCATTTACTAGCACCGAGTCGAAGTCCTGCAACAGAAATAAACGAATCGATTAGACGAATAACATCAGAATATCACATTTGATAGTAATTATATTATTGTTTACCTACTTATTTATACTAAACATATCATTAAATCGTTAAAAAATCATTTTAATTTCCATCCAGCTAGAAAATTAAAAATTATCTAACAACACAAAGATTATACCGAATATAAGATTGTAAAAATAAGATTTTCGATGCATATATAGTTCTTATATGTAGCGAATCCAGATATCCAAAACAGCTTTAGTGATCATAATTGTATTAATTCTCGATATAAAATAAGTACATGCAAATTTCGATTGTGAAGTGTAGGAGAAGTGTTGCACATAAAGAGCTGACTCAAATAACAACAAAAACAAAAATATATATATAAATATAAATATCAAATATCTACACTCAACCTTTTTGTTGCTTAGGTCACATATATCCATATTTTTGTTTTACCTCAGACCGGTCGCAGAAGTATGGTAATGTTATTAATGAGTCTGTGTGTGTGTGTGTGTGTGTGTGTGGAGGGGGATGATTTTCACAAGATAAAAATAAAACAATACAAGTACATATTTTATAATGATGTAAGTTCCTATATAACATTTTATGATTTATTGTGCAATAATATAATAGAATTTTTTAAATAAGAGTGATTTTTGATTTTATTTTTAATCACATGTTGAGTATTTTTGCTCTAATTGACGTGCATAATATAATGTAGTTGAAAATAACAATACAACATAATAAACATTTATGTGACAACAAATATAATACAAATGTCTGCATTGCACAAAATAAGTAATAAAAAAAAGGGGGAAAGTAGGTAACTGCTTTGCTATAGAGTAGAAGTCCTGTTATCGGTATCTGATATCCATACCTCGATATTATCATTTAGTAGGTCACTAGGTCACTGTAATGGATGTGTTAAATTTGAATCCAATGAAAATTCATTGCATATAAAAAAACAACTATGAGCATTGACTGTTTTGTAAATATATTGCTATTAATTATTATATTGGGGGACGAGGTGGCCGAGCGGTCCAACGCGTCGGCTACGGCGCAGCCGATCCGGGTTCGATCCTTGGTCACCGGGTGGCATTTTTCTTCGGGCAAGTCACGGTGTCCGGAGAACAAGTGCCGCCATCCCCCACCCGGGCATGGCAGATACCTACGGGTGCCCAATCAAAAATTCTGCCAAACACAAACACTCACGTGTAAGAACCTACCATTCCAAACCCTACAAACAGCTAATGGCCATAGAAGCCGTTAGCCGGGCTTAAGGATCAATAAAAAAAAAAGTAAAAAAAATTATTATAGTAATTTACTTTCTTACCAATTAATAGCATAGTACGGATAATATTATGCTATAAACTATAAATAGACAATATTATACAATTTATCTAAATATTTTGAAAATATCATTGTGCATTTAAAATATAGCAACAAACAAAAAAGTTTTAAGACCCCACGAAAAATATTGCAAAATACAACAAAACAACATCGTTGACACAGAAAAACCTCCTATATGCCAAATTTTTGATTTTGAGATTTTAGTATCTCTGGATTCAGAAAAAAAAATGTTATTCATGGATAAAATCTTCTATGTTCTATCTGCATCGTAGAATTAATGAAAAATAACAAATTAATTTTCCAATGTCTTACCTACAATAACATACAATACTTCGTCTATGAAATACCTCCTATGTACTATTTCCGTCGTAGAAAAACCCTCCTTTGTCTTATCAACAATAAATCGTTAATGAAATAACTCCTATTATGTGATATTTTTATTCAAAACGTTTTTACGCCTCCTATAAAACCATGTTTTTGCACATGAGAGTTTTTTCGTATTAACAACGATAATTAAAATCAATATTCATCGATTAAAGATCGAATTTTGTCCAAACTTGAACTTAAAAAATAAAAATTGATGACAGAAAAAAAACCCATCATTTCAAAATCAATATATTCAACTCTCAGCTCAGAATCTTAAAATAAACATACTTATATTTTTGAAAAATAAAACGACTGTAAAAATGCATATTTATTATTTTCATTAGTATAAATTGTATACGAATTCAACTTGAACAAATAATTTATTGTAATCAATCTCTCCATTATAAAGAAAAGTATGGTAACTTTCATTGGCCATTAAAAAAAAAAAAAATAATAATAATAATTTAAAATAAAATAAAGTAATGACTAATGAGCAGGGCTCGTAACTTCATGCACTAAAAAATGCATAAATAAGCATGCATTCATGCACTAAAAATTGTCAAAATATGCATTAAAATATGCACTTAAAAGTTCAAAAATATGCATTTATATGCATTAACATTTTTAAATTATGCACTCAAAATATGCATTATCTAAAAAAAACATGACCAAATTTTAAAATAATAAGAATAAATCCATACATTTTAAAAGTATTTTATTCATCCTAATTTTTATATATTTAACAGTCAAAATTAATAAAATAAAAAATAAAATTAATACTTGTGAAGTTCAAATAGCTTTGTCATCTTTATAAATTTTAATTAGGTAGTCAATTTTGTCTAATTTGTGTACACCCTTATTCAGCACCAGCAATGAAAACATTTGGAATGAAATATTAGGTTTTTAATTTTGGGATAATTTAGTAATATATATTTTATAAGTGTTTTTTTTATGTTTTCCAACAAGAGGGCGCATAAGTAGACAAAATATGGCATAAAACCATGGTTTCGTAATTCAATTAATACGGCTTATTGAAGTGGTTTACAGTAAAAATACCTATTATAAAAATTGTAAAGTAGAACTTTTTTTACAATCGTAAGAAGCCTGATTTTCGATATTTTTATTAATTAGCTAAATAATTATTCAATAAAAAATTTAAAAAACCGTTATAATTTACCATACGATATTGGAGGATTGCAACAAGATATCAAAAACCGGAAGAAACTTTTCAAATATTTGTCTAAAAAATATTTTTATGAAATAATATGCACTAACGACTGTAAAAAATCAACTATATGCCAAATATGACTTTACACCCAAAACATGCAAAAACATGCACTATCAAACTTCATATTATTATTACTATTGTTATGAAACGGATTTGTATCTCAGTTAGCATGTTTTCCTGTGTGGCAAAAAAAACATGCAGATGCATGAACTTACGAGCCCTGCTAATGAGTATTGGAATATTTTATATAATTATATTAGAGAAATATGTTATATTTTTATTTAGAGAAAAAATTTCGGGGATTTGCCAACGGATGAGTACTAAAGGGTCAAAGCCCCCTCATAAATAAATAAAAGTTTTATAAATAAGAATTTTTTAGCCGTATCCAGTTGAATGAAAATTGAATTAATCTTTAAGGTATATAACGTATGTCCGCAAAAACCGGTTACACTGTATAATTAAATTTCCCATATTACTCATTATCCTATACATATTTTTGAATTCTGTTTGTAGGACAAGAAACTAGGCTATTAAAATATTATGAATCTCCCACAGACAGAATTCAAAAACTTGTATAGGACACCGAATAATGTAGGTAACTGAGTTATAGAGTGTACCCAGCTTTTGCGGACTCAGTATAATATTAATTTATTTTTAGTTAAGCTAGAGGAAATCATGAACTAGGTACTGTGAACTTTAACACTATTGTTCTGTTGATAATTTAATGTTTGTATTTGTTTGCATAATAACTTAGAATTCTATGAAACTAAATGATTTGCCAGTCATTCAAGAGTAATTATTATTCCCTTTAATTCATGGTTAAAATATTATAATATAATGGATAACATAAAACTAGGAGGAATCCTCATTAAAAATGAATATTTAAATTATAACTTAATGCACTTAAAATGTTAATGATAGTAGTATGGTATCAGTATAAAAATGTCAATGTTTATTCAATATTATATTATTATATAATTTATTGTTGGCACAGAGTCATCAGCATAAACATTATGTACTATAATATTAGAAATGTTTCATCTAAGTAAAGAAGTGTTAAATATTATCTACTCGAATGGTAAATCAGTGGCGTGCAATGTTTGCAATCGTCAACATTCGTATTATACGTATAATAGTAGTGTTATCTTTATATGGCTTTACGTGCAGTAAAATATTTTTAAACATTATAAAATATAATATGGCCGATTTGTTTGAGATATTTCTTATGTTAAAATACATAATATACCAGAGATACTTATTATTTATTACTATTTGGGTTTCTCTAAAAAAAAAAAAATATGGTAATAATAAATGGTAAAATATTTTAGATATAGTAACTTTTAAAATAAAACCTATTATATTATTATTATAGTCATTTTCACCTGAAAATCTTCACGAGGTCGTTCAATACAATATTGTAAATCAATTAAAACAACAAGAGAATATCCACAGTACTTTTCATAAAACACAGAACAATTTCGATTGCCTTAACTTAATCACAGCTCATTCTTCGGCGAATAGTGTAATGTGTGATTTAAACTTGAATAAGAAGCCTTATGCCAGTATCGCAAGAATGCCACGTAAAAGACAATTAATCATACTGCGATAATATTATGCACGAACAATATCTTTAATATATTTGATTGAAAGTGTTTGTGGTTGAAAATTCCCACTTTAAGAGTTAATACAGACTGCACCCTCTTATTGAGGTACTACCCTTGAAGTACGACTATGGCCTGGTGATTACCCAACCACAGCCACCCTCGGAAAACGAGAGGACCTTTTCGTGCCGTTCTACCAAATTCATCACATAGAAAATAACCATTAAAAAAAACGAGTGTGAGAAGGAATAGCAAAACACGTTAAAAATAATGCAGAAGATTTAACTTCGTTAGTTAAAAATAAAACCCATTGATACACTTGTCATTGGCATATAAATTATAAAATAATATCCTGTCACTATACTAGAATTACATTTGAATGTGGACTTCAATATTATTTTCGTCATAAATAAAAAAAATACAGGAGTTACAAATATGAAAAAAAAAAGTT